AAAAAAATAAGAAAAAAACTGATTTCCCCTTCTCAGCAGATACCAGTTGCAAATAGCTTCTGGGATAGCGGTGGGACTTTGAGTCTACTTCAAAAAGAATAGATTTTATTTAAGATGCTAAAATTTTAACATTTAACTTGCCATGAAAGAGCCTCATATTCATGATTAAATAGACATATGATCTTTAATAACTTGATAAAAATATCCTAATTTTTGGCTTTACTTTTTTTCAAGAATAATTATTTTGCTTTTGTTTTAAGATTTATATTTCAAAAAGGCATTCATTTATAAGTGTGCGTTTATGTGGAGTGAATATATGCCACAGCATATTGTGGAGATCAAAGGCAACCTGTGGGAATCAATAATCTCTTTCTGCCACATTGGCCTTGGGAGTCTAACTCAGGGTATTAGGCTTGGGTGGAAGAGCCTGTTCCACACAGAGGTCAGCAAAGGGTGTTGAATCCCCTGTAACTACAGATTTATTTGTGAACCACTGGAGGTGCTGGGATAGAACTTGGATTCTCTGGAAGAGCAGGCAGTGTTCTTAACAGCTGAGCCATCTCTCCAGTCTCAGAGTTATTAAATGTTTATGAGTATTTAGCCCAAGTATATGTCCACTGCATGTGTGCCTGAGACCCTAGGAGGCCAGAAGAGGGCACTGGATCCTCTGGTACTGGAGTTATGCAGTTTTAAGTCACCATATGAATTCTGGGAATGGAGTCACCCAGGTCTTCTATAAGAATAGCAAGTGCTCTTAGCCACTGAACCATCTCCAGCCTCAATAATTATTATGATTTCCTCCTCTTGCAGTTTTTTTGAAGGGGGGTCTCACTGTGTAGCATTGGTTGGCTTGGAGTTATATAGGTCTACTGGCCTCAGACTCACAGATTCTGTCTCCTGAGTACTAGGATTAAACACCCAGCAAGAATGATTATTTCTAATTAGTTACATTTAAAACCTTTTTCTTGGTCATAGAGCATACCATAGATTGTTGTTGGTGTTTGTTTTGAGATACAGTCTCATCCTGTAGCCTTGTCTGGCTTGGAACTCGCTACATAAGCTAGGCTGGCCTTGAACTCATAGAGGTCTGCCTTTTGCCTTACCATGGTACTTTATAGCTGTCTTATTGAGGTATAACTCACATACGATAAAATTAGCTTACTTAAATTACTGCTCAGCAAGTTTTACTGTCTTCTTACTTTATTACCCACCAGTATTCCAGAACATTCTGATCACTTCAAAAGAGAACCTCCTTACCTTTTAGGAGTCACTTCCCATTCTGCCTTTCTCATCAGCTCAGCTCAAGCACCTGCTGATTGGTTGTTGAGTTGTGTTATTGATTCTGTGACTGGCTTCTTTCTCTGAGCACAGTGTGTGAGCTCATCCACGTTGGCCCCACATCAGCGCTCTATCGCTTTTCGCCGTTGAAGAGCCAGTCTGTTTTGTTCGTCATTTTTATTTACCTGTTCCCCAGTTGGTAGACACTGGTTGTTTCCATCTTTTGGCTGTGATAAGTAGTGCTTCTATGAATGCTTGTCAGTAAGTGTTTGTGTGGTTTGTTTTCATTTATCTTATGACGTTTCTTTGGTCATATAGTAACTATTTGTAGAAGCTGTCATAATGTTTTCTAAAGTAGCTACACTATTCTGCAATTTCATGAAGTTTCCAGTTTTTCTGCATTCTTACTCAAAAAATCCTATCACGGATCTTTTTGGGGTTGGCTGTCTTGGTGGATGTGAAGGTGGTACTGTGTCCTGCTTTGATTTCTATTGTCCCGGTAGCGTGTGATGCTGAACATTGTTTGATGTGTTCACTGCCTTTCATGTACCCAGTATAGTGGAGGGTTCTGTGCTCGCCAGTTGTGTGCTTTTAACAAACACTTGGGCCATAGTGCATTTTACAGTATCCCTCCTGTACTGTGCAGCTGCAACTCTCTTCTGGTGCTGGCCAGCTTTTGGGTGTGCTAAAGTAGGTTGCTAAACGTTTTTGTCACACCAAAGGAGAACCCTGTACCCATTGAGCCATGCCTCTTCCTCTTCCTCTCCCCTCAGCCCTCACTGGCCACCAGTGTACCCTCTGATTCTGTACACTTGCATATTCTAGAGACTCACTGAAATAGAACCATACTGTATGGAGTATGTTATATATTCTCCTTTTTGGCCTGGCCTTTTTTCTGCTAGCATGTTTTCAAGATGTGTTTACCTTGTAGCAAGTATGAATACTTCATTCCTTTTGACTGAATAGTAATCCATTATTCTAGACACAGTGCATTTTATGTAGCCATTACCTGTTGGCAATTATTTGTGTTTATGTGTGTTTTTGTTTGATTACTGTGTGTTTTGTGATAGGGTCTTGTTATGTAGTTAAGACAAGTGATGGTCCTTCTCCCTCCGCTTCCTGAGTGCTAGAATTACAGCATGCACCCTCACACCTGCTTCCAACACTAGTACTCTGATTCTTTTTGTTCTGTTTTGGTGACAGGATCCCACTAGGTAGCCCAAGCTCAAGTTGAGCATTCAGCCTCCTGAGTGCCAGTTTTATAGATGTGCCACTGTGCCCAACACTGAGACTTTGACCCTATACACCAGCATTGCCAGCATTGTACTCGAGTTAGATATGTGGACAAACAGAAAAACTATTACTTTCCAGTAAAACTGGAAGTGGCATGTGTATACCTAGTTTAATACCTATCACCAAAGAGGAGGGCTTAATAAACTACAGCTAGTACTGCATTCGGGGTACTCAAGTGCTCAGACTGATGGCAAGTGGTTCTCCTCCTGAGCCGTCCAGTTAGCCATGTGACAGCTGAAGGACAAACTCTGTGCCTGTGGTCTTCTGCCTTGAAATCATATTCTTGACAGAGAATAAAGCATCCCTATACAAGTAACTGGCAGTCGTGCCCGTAGTTGATCCAGTTAATTCTTAAGGTTATCTAAAAGCTGTTCAGAGAAAGATAACTATACATGCCCATTCTTTTTACATACAGCTTTAAAAAATCAAGTTAAGGTGTGCAACAACATAGGAATTAGGTAAATTAAAAATGATTTTTATGTACATGGAGGGTTTTTTTTTCCAGTCATAAAGAGTTGTTCGCAGAGAAAATGAATGTAACTGGAGATAATCAAATCATGTGAATTAAACCAGTCCTAGAAAGACATGTGTGTGTTTCCTCCCCTCCATGATTCATAGAGTGTTATAAATTCACACACATATAAACGACATGAAGGCAAAAGTAAGACTGAACAAAGGGAGCCCGTGGAGGGAGGCATGACGAGGTGTGCTCACCATGTGATCAGTACTTGATGGAAAGGGAAAACAAACACACTTTTTAAAAAAAGGAAAAACTAAAATCCTGGTTGTTTGTCAGTTAAGAGCCAGGGAAAATGCTCTACCAGAGAATATTGTCACTTTGGTCTCAAGATTGGAGCCACGTGCATTTTCTACTGTGTTTATCTGTGTAAACTGCAGTGTATTTACCTGAGCTTCCCAATGAAGTATATGTTGAGTGAATGAATGAAGGAACTGTCTCTTATGTTCTATTCTCCCATGTGTCCTAGCACCTCTCAGCTTTTCTTAATCTAACCGGTTTGAGTGGTCACAAACCGTAAGTTCCTATTGTCTGATGTTTATGTCTATGAGCATGGCTTCCATTTATATTTTCTTAGTCAGTATGGCGAGTGTTGTTTAATCTCTGCACATGGATAAATGGAAACACCAAAATACTTTCATGTTATGCTGGAAGAAACTCAAGCCATAAAGTCTTCTTGTTTTCATTTTTTGGTGGTTTTTTTTTTATGTGTATGAGTGTTTTACTTTCATGTGTATATGTGTACCACATGTCTGTGTGCTCATAGAGGTCAGAAGAGACATCGGATCCCTGAACTGGAGTCACAGCTAATTAGTAGTCATCATGTGGGTGCTGGGAATCCAGCCCAGGTCCTCTCTGAGATCGCTTAGTTGTTAAGCCATCTCTTCAGCTCCAGAGTCTTTTAGGAATGTGTGAGTCAGCTCCATTTCAGGTGTGATTCCATTAAAATAGCTGCTAGCCCTAAGTTTTTATTTGCTTATTTTTATAGTTTGATGTTTATTCTTGAAGTTGATGTGTAGCTGAATTTTATTCCACTCATCAGCTATGTAGTCTCCCCACTGTTATTTGTTATTTCTTATTCATTAAAAAAAATTTTTTTAAATTAGACTTGTGTTTTTGTCAAGGTGGGCATGTGCCAGTATGTTGAGGTCATTGTAAGTTCCCAGAGTTAGTTTTCTTGTTCTTAGGATCAAACTCAGGTAGTCAAGTGGTCAGATTGATGGCAAGTGCTTTTACCTGCTGAGCCATTCGTATAGTCTGTGTATGTGTGTGTGTGTGTGTGTGCGCGTGCGTGTGTGCACGCATGTGTGTGTGTTTTTCTCTGTGTCTTCTGTCTGTCTTTTAAAACATCAGTCATTGTGTGTGTGAGAGTGCTCTCAAAATCATTAGCCATTTTAATTTGGCACCAGAGTTGGGAGTGTTTTTAGTTGAGCAGCATCGACTTTATTCACGGTGACAGCTGTCACCGTGAGGTGCACCACCACTCTGAACTTAGCCTGTGTTTGGTTTCCTTTTAGGTGTTGACAGCTCTTCTACCACCAGTAGCGCCTCACCCTTGCCCAACAGTTACGATGCCCTGGAAGGAGGCAGCTACCCGGGTAAGCTGTTGAGAGCTTGCTCACTGTTCATTTAGGTTACTGGCTGCATCAGGGCAAAGGCAACTGAAGACATACAGTAGGCTGCATTTTTAACAACAGCAAAGATATTTTTCCTGGCGTTTCTCAGCTATAATCTAGTAATATGACAACCATTCATGTTGTTTCTGGCTACCTGAAGACATTTGTTGTTTTGTTTTTTTCTTTTCTCTTTCTAAAAAAAAAAAAAAACCATTTGGCAGTGAATGAAACAGCTCCTTAAATTGTGCTGTTGATTCGCACGGGTCCTTGAGTCCCTCCCAGCTAACCCTGAGTGTGTGTTGGGCTCCTTCCCTTGTGGTTCCTGACGCCTCCACTTGGTAAAAAGCCAGGTAGACCCAGGGGGCACGTCTTAGAGACATTGCTAGTTTTCTAATTTTTTTCTAAATGTATAAGAAAGTTTTACCTGTGTATATTTTGTACCCTGCATTCCTAGTCAGAATAGAGGGTTGTGTTTCCTAGAACTGGAGGTGCAGAGGGTCGTGAGCCTCTGGAATTGACCCTGTTTCCTCTGTGAGAGACAGTGAGTGCTCTGAAGCCGTCATTCTTAATTATATCTGGAAAGAACCTCATTACATGAGAACAGAGGGGCAGTGGATGGTGTTAACTGAAAACAAGCTGTTGTACGCCATTTCATTGTAGTAGAACTTAGGCTGCAGTCTTCCAGTGCTGCTGTCTCCTGTCACCCACACAGTGGCACACTCTGTCCCTTCATGACTTATCAGTGTTTAGAGCGACAGCCCAGATGGCTTTGTCCTTCTGGTCCCTCATCACTTTGATAATATCACTTTCACTAGGATGAAATTTAGCTGAAGCTGTACCGTTCTGTACCTAACACACTATTCACTGTCAATACCATGAATCAGTAGAAAAATGTAATCCTCTCAGCTTAGTGTATAGCTCTCTCTTACTTTTGAAACACAAAGTGTAAAAAACTTAGTCTTTTGTGGTCGAGCATTTTTTGTCCAAGGAATTAATGGGGGGGGGGGGGGGGGGGGCAGACCTATCTACAGGTGTCTCCTAAATTCAAACACAGTCAATAAAAAGTTGGATTCTTCAAGAGAACTTTTAAATGATAAATTTTTATTAAGTCATGTACTTTTTAGTCCATGTTTATGCAGACTCTTAACTGGTAAGAAATACCATTTTTGATATAAAAAGATCAAGAGATTATAACTTAAAGATTGATTTAAAGTAAGACCAAGTCAATACCAAAATCTTACACTGGTCACACACACATATTTTGCCAAGTTTTCCAGTTTTACTGGAATTTTTGCTTTTAAGTTTAAATAAAAATGAAGAACATCCAGTCACTAAATTTTCTTAGTCACTTATTGATCCCAGATGTTGTTCTAGAAGTTTAGGACAATATTTTATATTCTACCCACAGTTTACTTATGCAGATAATACATATTTCTAGGGTATTATAGGAATATGCCATTTCTTTCATGGACATTTTACATTAAGGGTCAAATGAACTAATTTTTAATTTTAATTCTGCTGTTTATTTTCTGCTTCTTAGTCCCATTCCTCCTGGGAGAATTGAAAACCAAAAATATACACTACTGTGTTAGCTGTGTCTGTCATTGTTAGGAGTAACATCTGAGGCATTTGTTATTGAAATTATGCATAGGCAAAGCAATGCATAAAATAAGATTGACAGAATATTGATAGTTATTTAAGTCAGTGTGTACATGGACTTAGTGATCTTCTCTTTCAAGTTGATATGTGTTCTTCATTTGTCACAGTAAAACATTCTGAAAAGAAAAGAACGCCGAAGGTTACTGTTTACCAACCGAATTTTGGGTTGTGAACACCTAATTTTTTTTTGTAGATATGCATTCTTCTTCAGCAAGCAGCCCTGTTCCAGATCGTGCCGCGGAACCTAACTCCTCCCTCGCCCAGGCTCTGTCTACAGCCCCCACTCCCGCTGCTGCTCAGCCGCCAAAGGTAGCAAAGCCCTTTGGCTATGGCTACCCAACTCTGCAGCCTGCCTATCAGAATGCAGCACCACCGCCCACCCCTGCAGCACATCCCAGCGGCCCAGCGTATTCTGGATATTCCCAGGTGTGTATTCAGTCCTGTGTGATAAGCTGATAAAAGTTGTATCCATTGGAGCAGTCTCTGATAATCGAATCTAATGAGTTGGAATCTGGATGAAAAGTGAGTAGCTTGAGTTTTCTTTAGGTTTTTGCATTTTTTTTGTCCAGTGTTTATAATCAGGAAATTTAAATGGTAATTTAAAACTTACGTTTAAACATACATACATGCGTCTGTATGTTTGCCATGTATGTACAGATAACTACAGAGCCCAGCAGAGGGCTCTGGGTTTCCTGAGCTGGAGCTGTAGGCAGTAGTGAGCTTCCCAGTGTGAATCCTGGGAAGTGAAGTTGGGTCCTCTGGAAGAGCCAGTGCTCTCAATTGTTGAGCCACTTCTACAGCCCCTAATGATAGCTTTAAAATTTTTCATCTTGCTAAGCTGACAGTTACCTCAGAAAATAAGAGAATGTAATTTAGTATTTATTTTAGCCTCTGTTCTTTATTTGGAGTCTAATACAAAAATGACCCTGTGAGAATCTTCATGAACAGAAGTGTTCTCTAGTTTGTGTGTTCAGTGGCTGTGGTAGGTATTTTTCTGTTGTTGTGATTAAGATGCTATGACCAAAATCGACTTACGGAAGAGTTTCCTTCGGCTTACGATTCTGGAGGGGAGTCAGAGTAGTGAGGGAGCTGTGCCTGACATGAGGCGGACAGCAGAAAGCTGTCTGATCACATCTCACGACACGGGAACCAAAAGAACAAACTGCAAGTGAGGAGAGGTGATGTCAAGGCAGCTCCCCATGACTGAGGTCCTCTAGGAAGTCTTCATGGCCTTCAAAGTTCTATCAACTGCACTCACTGATAGTGCCACCAACTGAAGACCTGTGGTTCAAGTGAATGAGGCTAGAGTGGGAGTATGCTAAATAGTTCTCATTTTTATTTATTAAATGGAAAATAAAGCAGGGAAATGAGTGAAATGGCCAAAGCATTTTAAGTGTATTAGATAGATAGATAGATAGATAGATAGATAGATAGATAGATAGATAGATACATAGATACATAGATAGATACATAGATAGATACATAGATAGATACATAGATAGATACATAGATAGATAGATACATAGATAGATACATAGATAGATACATAGATAGATACATAGATAGATACATAGATACATACATAGATACATAGATAGATGCATAGATACATACATAGATGCATAGATAGATACATAGATACATACATAGATACATAGATACATACATAGATAGATAGATACATAGATGCATAGATAGATACATAGATAGATACATAGATACATAGATAGATACATAGATAGATACATAGATAGATACCATGTTTACATATGTATATACATATTATATATATATAAGTATATAGAGACAGTGTTAGTGTGAATGTGCACAAGTAGAGGTCAGAGGACAACTTTATGGAGCAGATTCTCTCCTTCCACCTCTCCATGGATCCTAGTCATTGAACTCAGATCACTAGGCTTGCATGGCAAGCGCCTTTACCTGCTGAGCCATCCTGCTGGCCTGAGAATATATACTGTAGCTTTAAGGAGCCTTCTGTGATACAACTGAAATCCTTTTAAATGTTGCATGCTGTGTGATCCAGTGGTTCAGATATGAAATCTAAAGACTTTCTTTGTAATGACTGGCAGTGGCTTTCGTTTACGTGGTGAGAAAGGCCCCGCTTTTCAACCCTCAGGAAGGTGCCCCATGGTCTTTGTTCTTCCACCACCCTTTATTGCAGAGAATTTTGGATAAAGACCTTTCTTGGATAGCCAACAAAAGGAAGAATCATTTCTAAATGCTGTTACAGTTCAGTGCATATACAAATTTCCCCAGTTATCTTAGAAATGCCCTTTTATATTTGATTGTTTAAACTATTAGCCAAATAACTTAATGGCTACTATGTTTGCTTTTGTGTTATAATTATCATTTTAATTTGAAACAAACTTTACAGTTTGAATGTATGCCTTGGATCTGATGGAGGCTGAGGCAGCAGCCCCGAAGAGTGGTCTGCACTGCTCACTGCTTCGTTTTGCTGTCCTGTCATTTACTGCTACCTCTGCTCCGTTTCCTCTGATCCAGGAGCTTGATCATATTCATATAGGAATCATAGGCTCATGATTATGGTAATCATATATTCATGTTGTCTTTGATCTTGTATTTATATATCAATATATATTCATGATTCTTAGTACAGCTGTTATTTCTTTACATAGGCCTGATTAGGAACTCTTGACGTAACCTAGGACACTTGATGTCACCTACTCTCTGCCTCACTTGCTAACCTGTGAGAATTGTCTAATGCTTAGCCCGGTGACCTCCTGTTCATTTGAACTGTCCTCATTAAGTTGTTTTTTTTTTTGATATTTTATTTACATTTCAAATTTTATCCCCTTTCCCCATTCCCCCTCCCCCCCCAGGAACCCTCTGTCCCATCCTCCCTCCTCCTGCTTCTATGAGGATGTCCCCCAACTCCTACCCCCCACTCCCACCTCCCCACCCTCGAATTCCCCCACACTGGGCATCCAGCCTTCATGGGACCAAGGATCTCCTCTCCCACCTATGCCCAACAGGGCCATCCTCCCCTACATATACAGCTGGAGCCATGGGTTCCTCCCTATGTGCTCCCAGGCTGGTAGTTTAGACCCTGGGGGCTCTGGTTGGTTGGTATTGTTGCTCTCCTCATGGGGCCGCAAACTCTTTCAGCTACTTCAGTCGTCTCTCTCACGCCTCCATGATCAGTTCAATGGTTAGCTGTGAGCATCCACCTCTGTATATGTCAGGCTCTGACAGACCTCTAAGGAGACAGCTATATCAGACTCCCGTCAGCATACACTTGCTGGCATCTACATCATCGTCTACCTTTGACTGCACATGGGATGGATACCCAGGTGGGACAGTCTCCAGACTCCTCCTCCTTCAGTTTCTGTTCCATGCTTTGTCTCCATATATGCTCCCATGAGTATTTTGTTACTCCTTCTAAGAAGGACTGAAGCACCCACACTTTGGTCTTCCTTCTTCATGAGCTTCATGTGGTCTGTGAGTTGTATCTTGGGTATTATGAACTTTTGGGCTAAATATCCAATTATCAGTGAGTGAATTCCATGTGTGTTCTTTTGTGATTGGGTTACCTCACTCAGGATGATATTTTCTAGTTTCATCCATTTACCTAAGAATTTCTCAAATTCATTGTTTTTAATAGCTGAGTAATATTCCATTGTGTAACTGTACCACATTTTTTGTATCATTCCTCTACTGAAGGACATCTGGGTTCTTTCCAGCTTCTGGCTTTTATAAATAAGGCTGCTATGAACATAATGGAACATGTGTCCTTTTTATATGTTGGAGCATCTTCTGGGTATATGCCCAGGACTGGTATAGCTGAGTCCTCAGGTAATGCTATGTCCAATTTTCTGAGGAACCGCCAGACTGATTTGCAGAGTGGTTGTACCATCTTGCAATCCCATCAACAATGGAGGAGTGTTCCTCTTTCTCCACATCCTTGCCAGCATCTGCTATTACCTGAGTTTTTTTATCTTAGCCATTCTCACTGGTATGAGGTGGAATCTCAGGGTTGTTTTGATTTGCATTTTCCTGATAACTAAGGATGCTGAACATTTCTTTAGGTGTTTCTCAGCCATTCAAATTTTCTCAGTTGAGAATTCTTTGTTTAGCTCTGTACTCCATTTTTAATAGGATTATTTGGTTGTCTGAGTCTAATTTCTTGAGTTCTTTGTATCTATTGGATATTAGCCCTCTACTGGATGTAGGACTGGTAAAGGTCTTTTCCCAATCTGTTGGTTGCCATTTTGTCCTATTGACAGTGTCCTTTGCCTTACAGAAACTTTGCAATTTTGTGAGGTCCCATTTGTCAGTTCTTGATCTTAGAGCATAAGCCATTGGTGTTCTGTTCAGGAACTTTTCCCCTGTGCCCAGGTATTCGAGGGTCTTCCCCATCTTCTCTTCTATTAGTTTCAGTGTGTCTGGTTTTATGTGAAGGTCCTTTATCCACTTGAACTTGAGCTTTGTACAAGGAGATAAGAATGGATTGATTTGTGTTCTTCTTCACACTGTCCTCCAGTTGAACCAACATCGTTTGTTGAAAATGCTGTCCTTTTTCCACCAGACGGTTTTAGCTCCTTTGTCAAAGATCAAGTGACCATAGGTGTGTGGGTTCATTTTTGGGTCTTCAATTCTCCATTGATCTTCCTGTCTGTCTCTGTACCAATACCATGCAGTTTTTAATCACTAAGTTTTAACTAGTGGGTTTAACCATTTGGTGGTATCTTTATATCTTCTATTCCAGATGACCATTACCTGAGTGGGTGGTAAGATAGTGTTTTTCCTCAAGTTATCATACTATATGTATTAGTTAGAATTAGTGCATTCCTGTAGTGAACCTTGGTCTCTGTACTAAGGAATGTGGAAGATAACTATATACAGACACAAAGTGTACTCCTTATTTTTTTGTCCTTTGTCAAAAAGTTTGTGGTTAGAGTGACACAAACACTAAATAAAAGAACTAAATGAAAAACTAATTTAAAATGTTGACTACAGGTGAAAAGTAAAATGAGATATCCCTGAATATTTTTTGTAACATTTTCATATCAAAATAATACAATTTTTGGCCCATAGTTGAGTGAAACTATCATTTGTAGGTTACAGAATAGAATATAGACTATACTTAATATACTCCTGATATATTTAAATTATTTCAAAATTATATCAGTTTTTATTATGAGTGTAAAATTATTAAATGTAAGATTTGTTTTGTTGGTGCCGGAGAGATAGTTTAGTAGTTTGAGCACTGCCTGTTCTTACAGAGGACCTGGGTTCAACTCCCAGCACTTACACTGTGGCACACAACTCCAGTTCCAGGGAATCTAATGCCCTCTTCTGGTCTCTGAGGTCACCAAGCATACAAGTGGTGTATAGACATACATGCAAACAAAACATTCATACACAAAATGAAATTTAAGTTTAAGTTTACAAAAGTGATTAGAAAATGCAGAAAAGCCATTTCACATATTAAATCAAATCAAATTAAGCCAAATCACATATTAAAGTGAAAGATTTGTCTTGTCATAATATTTGTCCTTAGATATGTACCCCAAGTGTCAGTAAAATTAGTTAAAACAATTTTTTTCATGGTACTAGAACTTGGCTTGGTTTCTTGAACTTTAAGGATTGCTTTTTATATCATCTGAATATTTTTGTTGTTGTGTAAATACAGTATTTTGTATTTTGAGGGAAAGTTCATAAAACAAAACAAAAAAAACCCCACACCTAGTCATGCAAATAGCCCTAAAGGAAATATAAATATAGGTACTGTTTTGGTCAGTTTTGACTTAACTCAAAGCTTGAGTAGTTTTAAAATATGACAGTGATTCATTAAATTACTTTGAGTGAATAAACAGCTGTGAATTCATAGTAATACTACAAGCGTAACACAGGAGCAGAAAGCAGCAGAGGAGAACTCTAGACACACGTGCGTCCTCTGGCAGTGGTGCTCAGCCTGTGGGTTGCAACCCCTTTGAGGATTGAACAACCCTTTCTTTCATAGGGTCACATATCAGGTATTTACATTATGGTCCATAACAGAAGCAAAATTACAGTTATGAAGTAGCAACAGAAATAATTTTATGGTTGGGGTCCCCACAACATGAGGAACTGTGTCATAGGGTCACCGCCTTAGGAAGATTGAGAGCCTCTGCTCTGAGGCATCAGCTTCTCCTGGAAACTGGGGGCACTTGAAATGCTTCAACATTTACTGTCTCTATGTGATGGAAACTCTATTTTTTGATGTTAAACAGTATGACATTATGAATGAAATTGTTTTTGCTTTGAAATGTTTAATATGCTTTAAATTGACTGTTTTGTTAAGATATGACTCTAAAACCAGATATACATTTTCTCAATATCTTGAGTTTCCTTTGCATTAAAATCTAGTATTCCGAAACTTTTTTCATACGTGTTGTGAAAATTTTCCTTTTGCCTTGAATTTCTCTCTCAGCATTACCCAGGGGTGAACCAGCTGTCCTCAGGTCTAGGAGGACTAAGCCTGCAGAGTTCTCCACAGCCAGAAAGCCTAAGACCTGTAAACCTCACCCAGGAGAAGAATATCTTACCTGCAACACCTATTTGGGCTCCTGTACCCAACTTGAGTGCAGAACTCAACAAGTTAAACTGTAGCCCAGAGTAGGTACTCTTTATTTTACAGCATCTTTACAGTAAGAGAGCTTGAATGAAAACAGCACCTGAGTCCCAGAAATAATCAGCAGTATGGTATTGGTCCCTTGATTGGAAGTTTGGTTCATATGGGCTTTTCTGTTTGAGTTTGTATAGAAGTACATATAAGCTTTCCTCTCTGTGTGTGTTGGGCTGGGGGTGTGTGTATATGGTGCACTGTACATATGTTGGGGTGGTGTGTGCGTATATGGTACACTGTACATGTGTTGGGGTGGTGGTATATATGTATGTGGTACACTGTATTTGTGTTGGGGTGGTGTATATGTATGTGATACTCTGTACATGTGTTGGGGTGATGGTACCATAGACACACATCAGGCATCCTGCTCTATCTCTCTGCTGTATCCCTTGGAGACACCCATTCACTAGAGCTAAGCTGGCAGTCAGCACACCTCAGCAATCTCCCTGCCTCCACTTCCCACAGCAGGCACACGTGCCCACTCCTGCTCTTTTACATGACTACTGAGGATTTGAACTCAGCTCCTCATGCTTGCATAGGAAGCTCTCTTATTGCTGAACCATCTCCCCAGAACCTTTGGAAAATTCTTTCTTTGGCTTTTCTTGAAAATGACGTAAATCTCACTAATGTAATTCCAAGAATAAGTTTAGATAAATAGTTTTTCTCTGAATTTTCTTTTCTCAATCAGTATAGAACCCCCAGTTTATTGGAGCAGCATGAATTCACGTAGGGTCTTCCTTCACTGAGAACATCCTTGCCTCCTGGAGAAGTGTAGCTGGTGTCTCCATGCCTTGATGTGCCTCTGAGTTGGTTAGTGGGCTCTGTACTTTCGGCCCAGGGCCTCCCCGGCTGTTGATTGCTCTTTTACCTGCTCTCAGTGCCTCCCCTCCACACCCATGCTTCACAGGTTACGCTCTGCTCCTCCAGTTTCTTCTCTGCACAGCGTAGACCTCGAATGTCAGGAGAGCATTGTCTTCTTCCTCACACGATAAATCCGTCATCCTTAGAGCCAGTGTTCTTCTTTTCCTAAGGCAGTGACTTTCCACCTTTTCCGTAATTGAAGGAGATGGAGGTCCTCTTTCTCAGCCAGAATATTACATAGAATTAAACACAGGTTTCCTTCTCCTACCACCACTGACCCATGACTTCTGAAGGCAATACTACGGTGATTTCCATAAAAGCATAGCACACCAAGGATTGCAGGCTGAGAGCAGCTGTCTGTCCCAGTTCTAAGCTGTTGGGTTGATTATGGCCTTGCGTTAATGAGTGGTTACACATTTTCTAGGACGTGAGTGTAGCAGGTGAGTGTGTACGAGATCTTGGCTGGCTGCAGTAGTGGATGCTTGGAATGCTGAGTCAGGATGATTTCAAGTTAAAGGTCTTCCCGGGCTACTTAGCATCTGAATATATAAATCCTACAGGAATATATAAATGATGTATGATGCGTGTGTGTGTGTATGTGTGTGTCTCTGTGTGTCTGTGTGTGTCTCTGTGTGTCTGTGTGTGTTGTTTTGTTTACTTTTTAAAAAGCAGCTCCCTTTAAAATTAAAAAGAGTGATTAGTACTGGCTTTAGATCAGGGCAGACTCAGATATTCTCCTGTGGTTCTGGGTTTAGGGCACTTCAAGTGTCAGTGATGTCATCAGGTAAGGAATTCAGGCTGAGTAATCTTTCTCTAAAATGCTTCAAGCCGCCAAGCAAGAGCTTCCAGCTTTCGGATTATTTTCATGGACTTCCTTGGCCAGCATTATTTGGGAAGCCTGAAATACTCCATCGTCTGAAACCTAAGCATCCTGTCTTTGCACACATTTTGGGTGGAGCCTTCTTTATTTTGTATTTTTGGATTAGAGGCACTGGAGCCTGCAGTAATGGCACACACATACACATAAGGTCCATCCTTGCCTTCTTAGTTGCCTTCTGAGTTATGAGAAAGGCAGTTCACAAAACAACTCTCTAGAGCTCTGTGGAATCACAGAACTTATTACATGCTGTAGGAAGGATGGATGGATGTAAGGAGACTGGTGGGAGACTACCCTAAGCGCCCCTGGGAAAACGATCTAAGCTAAGTGAGGCAGCAAAGTGTGTTCAGGGAATCACAGGCCTGCTCCCTGTCCCTAGTGTTCGGCACAGCAGGAATGTGCCGCAGAGCTCAGGTAGAAACCACCACTCATACTGTGGGGCTTAAGGCCAGGGCTCCTGAAGAAGCAGTAGCTGGATGAGTCTTGTGGTGAGAACAAGGTCAGAGGGGAAGATGAGGTAAGTGGAGATGGCATGGGGAACAGGGCGGCTTCAGTGGCGGTTTCTGTAGCTCCTACTTATGCCGTACAGTGAACTCACTGTTATAGTTAGAATATGTTGTACTTTCAACAGTGAAATGTCGGGTCCTTGGTCTAGGTCTTTCGATAGCTGTCCTATACATGCCTGGCTGAGTAATTTCCTTCCTGCTAATAGCTGTAGTAGCCTGCCTCAGTAGTTGTCACTCAGGTCTTCGAGGGTGCAGTTCTCACGTTAGCTAACATACTGCATGGTTGTGTCTTTTCAGTTCCTTTCGATGTACCTTGACCAGTATCCCACAGACACAGGCTTTACTGAATAAAGCTAAGCTTCCTTTAGGATTGTTGTTGCATCCCTTCAGAGACCTGACGGTAAAGTATATTTTAAGTATTTAGGTTCTGATACATGTGTAAGGTATCCAGATTATTTTGTTTCCTAAGAATGTTTGTCTTATTTTATTAGAGTTGGAAATAACCATTTCTGGGTTGTTGATTGATTCCCCAGAACCCATGTGGTAGAAGGAAAGAGTCGATTCTCAAAAGTTGTCCCCTGACCTCCACATTCAGGCTTTGTCAGGCACACCCACACACATTCCCACATACCGTGGCCCATTCAGGATAAAAATAAATAAATGTAATACCTTTCTTTTAACAATTAACTGTTTCTGTAAGATTCAAGTCAACACTTGTCTTCTGAGTAGCTGCTTTGTTTTGGGTGCTGGTGTGGAGTGGCCACACCCTGGGTCTCCAAAGTGGGACAGATGTGAACCAGAGCTGTGTGTTGCCTGACTGACATAGAATCAGTCTGGTTCTGTGAGGCACTAAGCACAGTTACTTCCCTCTACAGTTAGTAGAGGCATTCTGTATTAAAGTCTGGGCCTCACTTTGAACCAGCTACCACGGATGATGCTTAAACTTCAAGAGTTATGTCCAGGTAGAGCAGAGAGTTATCTGGTTGAAATTAAATAACCTGTGACAGTGGGGAGTCTGCGAATGTCGAGTCTGCGGAATGAAGGCAGTTGTTTGCATCTCTACAGTGTGTTTGAGTTAATAGCCACTTTGCTAGAATCTTACACATTTTTTTTTTGTCATTTCTTGCAGGTAACGTTAGCAGTAGCTAACAAAACAGCCTAGTTAGCCAAGAAAACTAAAATTAAAATTTTAAAGTTCAGAAAAATATTTAGCCAGAGGCATTTGTACTTAAGCTGCATTTTCCTGTCACATTCTTTTTCTGTGGGATGCTTGCCTGTTAGGCTGGATGGAAAGTATCAGTGGATAGAAAATAATTATCATGCATAGCCAGTCCTGGGAATTTAGTCAGTCAGTAAATTCGATGTAATTTAAACAGTTACAGCCTTCATCATTAAACCAAGACAGTTAATTTCTTCCCTGCATAGCTGAGAGTTTTTCTTTTTTTGTTGTTTTTGCTTTTCTTTTGTGTTTTGGGGATAGGGTCTCACTATGTATACTAGATGGGTCATAAACTCACATAAACCCACCCGATTCTGCCTCCTGAGTGCTGGGGTTAAAGACAGACGTGACTATGCCTGCTACCCAGTTCTTTAAGTACAGATCCCACATAGGATGTCTTTTAGAAATATGTACACTGAAGATTAATAGTGATATCCTATGGGATCTAAAATTATGAGTACTTTAATTTTTTTCATTTTCAGTTAATTTTATTTTCTGTTTGTTCCTCACAAGTGATATGTGGATGTTACTATGATAAAATAATAGTGCTGAACATGAAATACAAAAATTTTGTATTGAATTTTTTTTTTAATCCCAAATGAAGCATATAAAATGGTGACAGATGGGTTCGGGGACATAGAATAGTATATGACATTTTAATGTGTTTTATGTTTGCTGAATTGACTAACTACAAAATTTTTTTCCAAACTAAGGGTAGAGTGTATTTTCTGTGGGATTGGCTTCTTTCTGTTCTCATCTGCTGTGGGAGAGCTGTCAGCCGTGCAGCAGCCTCCTCTGCCTGATCCCTTTGCCTGGTCTTATACGTGGAATGGGTATGTTTGTGTCCTGATTGTCCTGAGGTGTTTGTGCTGCAGCAGCGTCTCTACTTTGTCTTGCAGCAATTGCCAGTGATAACCTCAAACACCATTGTGAGGTGCCGGTCCTGTCGGACGTACATCAACCCATTCGTGTCCTTCATCGATCAGCGGAGATGGAAGTGCAACCTGTGCTATAGAGTGAATGACGGTGAGTCTCAGGTTCTAAAAGGAAGTCTTTCACTGTCTTTTCTGACATCTCCCTCATTGCCTAAAAAGAGCTTTCATGACATTTAATGGAGACAACACAGGCAAGGGACCCTTCAGTCTGGTCTCTGAAGATATGCTTGAGCACAGAGAGAGTGACAGGGCAGACTAAAACAAGGTGGAGTAGAAAGGCACATAAAGACACTGGCTGGTCTCTCAGGTGGAGTCGTGTACCCAGCCTCTGGGTGTTTGGTTCAGTGAGCTCATACAGAGCTCATACGCAGGCACACGTGTCTTCCTGTTACAGCCGCTTCCCAGTTGTGCTTCTCTGCGTTCTCCCCCTCCCGCCCCCCATGTCCTGTGAGGTTCATTATTAGGATACAAGTCTAAGGAAAAAGGCAACCTGTGTCCTGGTTTTCTCAGAAAATACACTTGAAAAAGGAGTGTTAAAGGTTTTCTTTTTTAGTAATCTTCATAAATATTGTGATGAAGGTGTTCAATTCCCAGTGTGTTGCTAAATGTGCCTTGAATTCTTAATGCTCCTCTAGTGCCAGAAGAGTTTTTGTACAACCCCCTGACACGGTCTTACGGAGAGCCTCATAAACGGCCAGAAGTTCAGAATTCCACTGTGGAGTTCATCGCTTCCTCAGACTACATGGTAACTATCCGGTGTCCCTGTTGGTTGTGGGACACAATTCAATGATTCAGTTGTTTTAAGTAAGTTCTGATCCAAATTTTTAAGATATTAATATGAAAGTTTGTATGTAACAAACAGAAAGCTTTTCCCAGATCTGATTTGGTCTTCCAGAAGAATGCGTTATATTGTTTAGAAACATTAGCCATGGCTTATGAACAAACAGCATCCGTAGTTAATTGCCACTTGAATGTGGCTCCTTTCTGGACAGGGATAATAACTACTGTGATCATTTACAGTTAAGGGACCCCAAACAGAAAAAAAACTAGTGCATATTTTTGCCTAAAACAATAGTCTTAAAATTGTCACCATCTGTAACGACCCCTCCAGCACCGAGAGCAGGGTGGATGGCTGACTTGTTCCATCCTCAGCTTCAGTCATCAAATTCTGTTGCTCTGTTCTACTTAGAAAACCAGGTTTTACAAACTACTTAAAAATAGGTTTTAGGTTACATGATGCTCACCTTTGTTTTCTCATTTTTATTAAAAATAATATCCCCCCCCCCATCGTTTTTACTCTGGTTGCTGGCCATTGAGGAGATGCAGGTGAAGAGAGGTAGTGGGGACGCCTGCCTGAGGCCTGGTGGATTCGTGGTGTTGACTCAGCCTAAGATGACTTAGCTGCAGTTTTCATGTCAGTTTCTACCTCAACTACACTAAGTTTCTTGTGCCATCCAGCTTTAGAACTCACATGTACTCAGCTCTGGAGTCCTTAGAATCTTAATCTAGGTGCAGTGCAGTAGGCTGTGACCTTTGCTGTATGATTCCATGGCCTTTGGGTGGCATGTTAAGAAAGCCCTTGTGGACTGTGTGCTGCTCAGTGGAGCTCTTGCCTCCCATTTGTGAGGTCCTGGGTTCAATTCCTCAGCACTGGGGACCTCACAAAGGGAGAGAAAGAAAGGCTCGCTGTGCCCCTCCAGTACTTTCTGTGACTCAGCTTCAATAAGCCTTCTTGTACACGTAATTTGAGCTTATATATTAGTAACAGAAGTACATAAAATAAATAAATTTTAAAAATGAAAGAAACTTTAAAACTATATAAATTTTTTTAGGAACAAATAAATATTTAGACAGGTTAGCGTTACATAACAATCACCTGGCATGTTTTTACTTTAGAAGATATGTTAGTCAATATTCCTTAAAAAAAAAATAAAACAAAACAAACCACTTAACATGCTTAGCCATTACAAGTGCCTTTCGTTCTAATCTCAAATGAACTTTGCAAAAGAAGTAAAGAAGGCAGTGCGTTCTCATTAGCGACCATGTAGTCCTGTGCAGCTCCTCCGTAAATACATGCAGTAATGCTAGTGACAGGACCGAAGGCAGTGCAGCTGCTAACGAACTATCTTCTTCCCCACAGCTCCGGCCTCCTCAGCCTGCCGTCTACTTGTTTGTTTTAGATGTGTCTCATAACGCAGTGGAAGCTGGGTATTTGGCAGTTTTATGCCAGTCCTTATTAGAAAACTTAGACAAGTAAGAATTTTTTTTTTTATTCTTATGTGGGTATGTAAGTGTGTGCATACGTTTGAAGTTGTCTTTTAAATCTATGGGGTTTTTTTTTTTTTTGCTAAATTTTGTTAGATTCTGCTATGTTTACCTAATGTTATAGAATAAGGATTCTGTTTCATGAGTTGTTACATTTAATAGCTGATGGGTATCTGATTCATAAAATGATAAATGCTTTAATATTTTGAAAGAACTTGAATCTTATCTATCCCTCTGATGGGCTGTCCTGAGCACTGAGCCAAAGTGACTGTGTCAGGAGTTGGGATGAGACTGTCGGCAGGGTAGCTAAGTCTGAGGGATGGTAGGTTGACTGACATGAGAGCGGGCACTGAGAGATGCATGTCACGTGGTTTCACTCACATCAGGGCTGATGTGCCTATAGATCACAGCTGATCTATATGTAGGAGGGTGCAAGCGGCTGGCTGGGTGGTGAGTGGTTGGCATGAAAAGATGCAGGCCTTCAGAACTGTTGTTGACTTGGTGACTGACTAGTATGTTCCTGAAAATACTGAGTTAAGTATTCTTGCCACATGTTGACAATATATATTAATTAGCTAGATTTTGTTATTCCACAGTATGGATGCATCTCAAGACATTTGCACAATAATGGATATAATTTTGTCAGTTTAACAAAACTAATAAAATAAAATTATTTATAGAATCTAGCTATAATTTGTGACTGTGCAAGGCATTTTTTTCCCAAGCTAGTTGTATTGTAAAGTTTGAGGAAAGGAAGGTTGAAGCTGAGTGTGTGCTGAAAATGTTAGGAAGCCAGAGAGTGTGCTCTGCATATTTTCACATGAGCCACATACTGCCTTGTGGAAATTGGAGCAGAAAACAACATGACGTGTATATAGTCTCTTAACTCTTGTCTGTTTGTCTGCCAGCAATTGTGAAGAAATCCTTCCATTAGCTTTGAAAAGAATCACAATTTTTACCAACTAGAAGTTGTTTGTACAGTCTTTAGAGGTTGGTATCCAGGACCTCTCATTAGGCCAGCATTCTGTCACTGAGCCACACCCTGTGCCTGTCTGACCTTGAGCTCTGTGTTCCCCTTGGGGTCAGTGCCCTGGAGGTACCTGAGTAGGTGGAGCAGGTTCCCGTGTCTCCTGCCCCAGCAGTCCACTTCCTCCAGCACTCTCAGGGAAGTATGAGGAGACAGCCCTGGTTATTCCAGTGAGGACAAGTGAGTAGTTACAGATTAGACTATAAAATTAAAAGGATAAAACTGAGAATGGAAAATAGTTATTTTTGCTTGATGCCACTAGAAAATAGACACTGGGAAAGTAAAGACAGCTAGCCTGGGAGCAGCGTACAGCACTGTAGTAGCGTTTCCTGAAAGCACTCTGGAGACACTCCTGAGAGAGGAATGTGCTACAGAAACAGTTTAGCAGAAATTAGGGTAGGCAAATAGTCTCCACTCTGGTTACTGACTAATGCCAGCAGACGTTGTGAACGTCTCAAAGGAGTGCTCGTTAATCTCTAGAGACAAGTCTTGAGCAGTACTGGCACTGGATACTGTTTTCCTCCCTGTTCTGACTGGCCGTGGGCCTATCTGAGTAAGCAGATCAGTCACTGTAACAGGAGTAAAGTGTTGTGCTTTAACACACATTCTACTTTTGAATCTTTTGAAGACTTGCTTTCTTTTATGATGTGTACTGCATGCATGCCTGGGATCCAGGGAGACCAGAAGAGGGCATTGGATACCCTGAACTAGAGTTAGGGTGTTGTAAGCCACTGTTTTGGGAATCAAACTTGGCTTTTTCCCAGGAACAGCAAGTGCTCTTAACCACTGAGCCATCTCTAACCCCTGGAATCATTTGTTTTAAACAAACATTCTAAGGCATTCTAAAATGTAACCTACATAAGCAGTGAGTCCAGCCGGACGGACGCACTGGGGGATGTGCTTCTGTATGGAGTGTTGCTGAGGGAGACTCGGCAGGCAGGACTTGGCGTTGTTCTTGGGACCATGGTATGGTTTTGAAAACTGAGTTCTAACAGAAAACTTCCTGGTGATTGATAATAATCATTTTGATGTTCATAACTGTGTTTTGTTTAAAATTCACACATTAAAGTCTAACAACATTGTTAGTGTTTTTCCTGAAAAGTGTTTCCCGTAGAGCGCATTCACTCCTGTGTTTGACTGACCTTGAGACTGACCTTGAGACTGTGTCTGATTATGCAGATACAAGGATCTGTGATACTAAGACAGAAAAGAAGAATACATCTTTTTGTTTTTGTTTTTGTTTTCGAGACAGGGTTTCTCTGTGTAGCCCTGGCTGTCCTGGAACTCACTCTGTAGACCAGGCTGGCCTCGAACTCAGAAATCCACCTGCCTCTGCCTCCCAAGTGCTGGAATTAAAGGCGTGCACCACCACTGCCCGGCGAGAGCACATCTTTATTTAAGAGTATGAGAATAAAATGTGGTGTCTCACTCCGGTAATCTCATAATCCAGCACCTGAGTCAGGATAGCCACAAGTTCAAGACCAGCCTGAGTGACAAAAGTCCAGGTCTCAAAACAAATAAAACAACCAATGCTTTAGGCCAGTGGTTCTCAGCCTGTGGGTTACAACCCCTTTTTGGGGTCAAACAGACCTTTCATAGGGGTCACATATCAGATGTCCTGCATACCAGAACATTTACATTACAATTCATAACAATAGCAAAACTATGGTTAGGAAGCAGCAATAAAAATAATGTTATGGTGAGGTCACCGTGACATGAGGAACTGTATATTAAAGGGTCGCTGCCTTAGGAAGGTTGAGAACCGCTGCCTTAGGAGAAAGCAGGAAATGTTGAGTTTCTGGAAACCACCTGGGTTCTGGGTTGCTCCTCCCTGAAGGCTGTTTTGCTTTCTGAGCCTAAATTAATGTGAATGCTCCTGCCTGAAAACAGGCTGCTGACATTGTCATTTTTTGTGTATGGTTCAAACTCTCTGTCTCCTGTACAAAGTCATGTGTAGCTATCCTTCGACTTAATGTACTATTTCATTATTGTGTGAACAATGTGACTGAACACTTTGAATTTCAAGTTGCCTTTTTTTGTCACAAGGCTTCCTGGAGATTCACGAACAAGAATAGGATTCATGACTTTTGACAGCACCATTCATTTCTACAATCTACAAGAAGGGTTATCCCAGCCTCAGATGTTGATTGTATCTGATATAGATGGTAAGTATCAGCAGGGTGGTCTCTGTAGCTCTGGACTTTAGACTGGGGTTGACTTATGTGACGGTCCATCTTGTCATGTGCTGTGAGCATGATTTGGTATACCTTGGAAATTCTTGGTTCTAACTTTTTACGTGTGTTTGTGTGTGTGTGTGTGTGTGTTGGATGTGTATATATGACATACATATATATGGAGTATATGTATTTACTAACGCAGAATTCCAATGTGCATGGCAAGTGTCTTTGTAGAACCAAAACTTGCTACTTTCTGATGTTCTCCTGACTGTGTGCTGATGGGGTGTTTCTGTCCCTGTAGATGTTTTTCTGCCCACACCGGATAGTCTGCTTGTGAATCTGTATGAAAGTAAAGAGGTGAGATTAATTTGTTTTTTTCAAAGTTATCAAGACACTTACTTCATCAGCAGTTTCCATGTAAACCTCTGTTTACTGGTACCGTGTCATTAGACACTGTAGGAAGGTATCTAGTGAGACTTCTTCACAGTCCAGTGATGCAGAATGTATTAGAGAAGAAAACCGTCTTGCCTTCTCAGTAATTCACCCTTCACTCTTTCCTCAGCTTATAAAAGACTTATTGAACGCATTACCAAATATGTTCATCAATACCAGAGAAACGCACAGTGCCCTTGGACCTGCACTTCAGGCTGCCTTCAAACTAATGTCTCCCACGGGTGGCCGAGTGTCTGTGTTTCAGACACAGTTACCTTCCTTGGGGGCAGGACTTCTGCAGTCCAGAGAAGATCCGAATCAGAGGTCGAGTACCAAGGTATCGTGTGTTGAGTGTTTCTATCTTAACCATGGGTGTTTCCTTTCCCCACAAACTAAAGTCATCCATTTCCTCTTCATTGCTTCATCAGCAGTGATAAATAACCAGTAAGAATTGAAGCCACAGTGCCTTTATTTGGGGTTAGGTGTATTCTTCTTATTGCTTAGTTAGCAGGCTGTAAATTTAGTATGAGGAGACCAGCACTGCCCATGCACATGTGATGAGTAAGTCCAATCCGTGTCAGGTCAAGCATTGGGTGTGGTGGTTCACGTCTGTAGTCCAGCAGACCTGAAGCTCCTGATGCCACGTGTGTGCACACACCTACACACCAACAAGAGAAATTATTGTTTTAATGTTTAGAAGCATACCCTAATCCTTTATTTACAGATGAAAAAAGTAATATCTTGTCACAAATACCGATGAGGCTATTACTGAATGTGTGAGGAGAGCAACAGTCTTAGCAGCACATGATCTAAGGATGTGCAGCATTTTCATGTACTCTTATTATGATCCAAGGCCAGAAATTATATTGCTGACCCAGGTTTTAAGTTTCCCTCAAAAATTGATCAAAAGATGAAGTAACTGGAGATTTTTGTGTTCATTATAGAATGTTATAAAATTACACACTGAAGATGACCTGTGAAGAGGATCACTGTGGTCTTTTTTGTTAGATAGTAGGGTATCTACTAAGTAAAACTGATTTTAACCATTATAGAACACTTTAGTCAATTGTGAGATGATACCATATTACTCAATATCTGTCCACTATTAAGATTCTTATTTAAAGTCATACACTGTTTAAAATACACTCTACAAACAACAGAATCTTAAAAGTTAATGTGTTCAGTTTGGTGACCTGTGATAATTTTATCTCAAAAATAGAAGTATCTATAAGAATATGACACAGAGATTTTAATGGAACTTAAATATGCCTACCAAAGACCACATTCTAATCTTTTCTCCAGAATATAAACCCTTTCATTTCACATATTATGTTATTGTATTTCCTAGAATTCATACAAAGGGCATTGTGAGCACAGGACGACATTATGTAGCTTCTTTTATGTCAGCATTTACAGTCTAATTTTTATCCGTAGCGTATACTGAAGAATAAGTCTACGAGTGCAGCTACTTTTATTTATGCATAGTTGTCTTTCTTGAGATCATATTCAGTAGACTTCGGGGTAGTATGTCTTGATTACATTTTCATGAATTTGATCATAAATGTGTCATTGTCTTTTATGTTTCTTATGTACTCTTAGAAACATTGTGGGTGCAAAATAAATCTATAAAAGTCTTGGGACTCTTTCCTTCTATTGGGTTGCTTTGTCTGTCCTTGATGAGAGAGAGCATTTTCTTTGTCTTGTATCTTGCTTTGTCTTGTTTGGTTGTTATCTCTTGGAAGCCTGTTTTCTTCTGAAGGGAGATGGTTGGTGGGGGGGTGATCCAGGGGAAAGCAGAGGTAGGATGGAACTGTGAGGAGTAGCAGGAGTGGAAATTGTGGTCAGGGTGTATTGTATGAAAGATGAAATGATTTTCAATAAATAAAAATTAAAAATCTAAATCAAATAATTGAAATTTAAAAAAAGAAGTTGGATGGCTATTTAAAGATGACGCTGTGGCTTAATTTTCTGTCCCAGTGTCGTTTCTGTGATACAGTGAAAAACTTGCTTAAGCTATTATAATTGAATGTGCTTATGAGTAAACTTTAGATTGCAGGGGTTACCAATCACTGTATAAAACGTAGATGGTAAGGAAACATGTAAGCCAGCAGTAGTCTCACTATCGGGTATCAGTGTTTAGTTAACACCCAAACAAATGTGGTTTGTCTTCACTCACATAGACTGTTGTCCTTGGCCTTTTTCATTGTGATCTCTGAGATCTCCAAAGTGTGTGTAAGGTAGTGAATGTGAAAGTGCTCAGGTAACTGTCAGGGCTGGAGGGGTGCACTCAGCCTTCCTCACCACGCCGCCGAGTCACAGGAGAGATCGCTGAGTCACAGGAGAGATCGCCAAGTCACAGGAGAGATCGATCGCAGTACTCAGTAGCACCCACTGTGGAGCTTCTGATCAATCTGATGCCATCAGGCTTTCTGATCAGTCTGATGCCATCAGTCTTGCTCAAGGTTCTTATCTGTGAAAGATAAATATCAAAAGTCTTATGGGATATGTTATGAGAATGAATCATTCAGTTTATATAAAATAGCTTAAGCAGTGTGCCATGAAATTCATTTTTCCTCTAGAGGTGAATGAGAAGAGCCTCCCTTGTCACTCCAGGCTAGATTTGAATACCCAACAGTCCTGCCTCAGTTTCCAAAGTGCTGGGTCTGATCCATACATACTTTCTTGCTCTAACCATTTTTATAAACGCTGGGTTTTATTGCTCTTAGAAATCTGGGCCCAAACTCTCTTGGTATATAATAGAATAAAGTATATATCTTCCTTGTTATCAGAGAGACATATACTATGTGCATAACCAAAGGCTCTTACTTTATGATCTGTTGGCTTAGGTGGTGCACCATCTTGGCCCTGCAACTGATTTTTATAAGAAGCTTGCTTTAGACTGCTCAGGACAGCAAACTGCAGTGGATTTGTTCCTTCTGAGTTCACAGTATTCCGACCTTGCTTCTCTGGGTAAGACAATGTCATTATATTACTACTTAAAGATTTCACCGGGCAGTGGTGGCACACGCCTTTAATCCCAGCACTTGGGAGGCAGAGGCAGGCGGATTTCTGAGTTCGAGAGTTCGAGGCTAGCCTGGTCTACAGAGTGACTTCCAGGACAGCCAGGGCTACACAGAGAAACCTTGTCTTGAAAAACACAAAACAAACAAACAAAAAAAAAGATTTCTAACATCTAATTAAAGCTGTGATCTTCAGGAAGCATTCTTGGTTGGTACTGAGGGAGACAGGCATGTAGAACAGATAGGTGATATCTGTGATGATTACCAGTCAACTCTAAAGCCCTGCCTGTACTCAGTATCTGCTTTGTAGCACTTAGCCATTCAGCAGTGAACTTCAGTGTTTGCCATATTTTATGAATGTTTCGGGGTACAGTTTTATCTGCTTCCTGTCCGTGTTGGGCTTATTCATAACAGATTTTTTTTCATAATGTGATATCTGTACTACTGTTAAAAAAAAGTAAATTATCTTTACTTGTTTAGCTAATACTTGATGTGTTTCTCTCTAAAGCTTGCATGTCCAAGTACTCTGCAGGGTGCATATTCTACTATCCATCTTTCCACTCTACCCACAATCCTTCGCAAGCAGAAAAGTTACAAAAAGACCTGAAACGGTACCTCACTAGGAAGATTGGATTTGAAGCTGTCATGAGAATAAGATGCACTAAAGGTATGGCCTTGGGAAAGTGTGTTCTTTATATTTCTGCATCAATCAGCAAGCATGCCCAGACCCATGGTGATGACGATTTAGCATAGGGGACTTCCTGTTCGATCCAGATGAACCCTGTTTGACATACAGTTACTGAGTAATCTTTGACCACCTCCTTTTAATAACTAGAATAAATGGATAAAAGCAGCATTTTGGTTTATTGGAGGAAAGCACATGACAGATTATTCGAGAGTGACAATGGGGAGAACAGGAAAGGGCTTAGCCACCATTTAGCTGATGATGTCCTTGGGTTACCAAATGTGTGTGTGTGGGGTAGACTCTAGTCTCTCATTTACATCCAAGATAGGGAACCCTCGGTTTCTTAGTTTTGTGTATTATATTTACGTCTGATCTAGACTTGCATGTAGAATATGATGGTGGGTTAGGTATAAATATAGGTTGAATGTGTAAGCTCCCTTTAGAGAACCTACCTTGTTTGTTAGTTTGTTTGTTCAGTTAGAGCATCTCCCAGAGTCCATCTGACCCAGGACAGCAGCATGAGCTGCAGTGATGGTGTTGCTCGTGCTGTCTCATGCCAGTTCTCTCTCCCCTCAGGACTTTCAATGCACACTTTCCACGGGAACTTCTTTGTCCGCTCCACTGACTTACTGTCTCTTGCCAACATCAACCCTGATGCTGGATTTGCAGTACAGTTGTCAATTGAAGAAAGTCTGACAGATACTTCCTTAGTGTGCTTTCAAACAGCCCTGTTATACACATCAAGCAAAGGTAATGTTATCAGCTCTGAAATGGCTTGTGGCCATAGGTCCTCCTTCTTCTTCTCTTTTAGTAGAGAGGAGAAAAAGAATGCTGTGTGGTGGCAGTCATGGCATTTGTAGTAGGTGACTGTGTGTTGTTTCTTTCTCTTCTTAACTCACATTTGAATCCTTAAATAATACACCTTAAAAATAGATTTATTGTTTATGTGTGTGCACCCTATGAGTTTATGTATAGTATACCACATACAAACAGAGACTCATGAGGCAGGCAAAAGAGGGTGTCAGATCTCCCCTAGAATTATTAGTGTTTGTAAGCCAGTGTGTGGGTGCTGGGAGTCACCCAGGTCCTCTGCAAGAGCTGTAATCACTTTTAACCACTGAGCCATCTCTCCAGCCCCAAATAACACTCATAAGGATTTTTGTCACGAGTATTTATTTACTCTGTGTGTCATGCGCTCCTGGGTAGGAGTGCCACAATACGCGTGTACAGGTCAGAAGACAACTGATAGGCATCAGTTCTTCTTGTCACAAGTGAGTCTCAGGGCTCAAACACGCTCATCAGGCTCCACAGCAAGTGTCTACCTGCTGAACCATTTCACTGGCTGTGTGTATTGTGGAAAATTCAGTATTCACCATCATGTTTCTGGCAAGCACAGAGACCACCATCCTTGGGATTGGGGGCTGTGTAACATGAAGAACTGCAGCAAGGAAGGCCTTCACTTCTTCTTTGACAGTGTACGCTTTTTGATACTTAGTTGAGTATAATTTAGAACAACATTAAAATTAAACTAGAAAATCTGGAGAGACGGCACAGCAGTTAAACACTTGCCGCTTCCAGTTCCCAACCTCTGATAGAGCAGATCACAGCTGTCTGTGTCTCCTGCTCCAACAGACCCAACACCCTCTCCTGGCCTCTGTGGTCCTGTGCACACTTAAGTGTGTGTTTATTGTGTGTACATATACACATAATATAGTTATTACAAATAAAATCTTGAAAAAGACCAAAGCCAACCAGAAACGACTGTTCAGCTATTTGTAAGATCTATGCTCATGGTTTACAGGATTGGAGAATTTTTTTTTTTAGATTTATTTATTTTATGTGTGCGAATTTCCTGTCTGTGTGTATCTCTGTGCACTGAATGCATGCCTGGTGCCTACATTAGCAAGAGGAGAGCATTAATTTCCTAGGTCTGGATTTACCAACAGTTGTGAGTTGCCATATCGGCTCTGAGAGCTGAACCTGGGTCCTCTGAAAGAATAACAAGTGTTCTTATCTTCTGAGCTGTCTTTCCAGTCTCTGGGGAGTATATCATTTGAAACATGCTAACTAGACTGGGCTTGTTGCTCAGCGCTGTAGTGTTTGCCCAGCATTTGTGAGGATCTGGGTTCAGTCCCAAGTACCAAAACCAATAAGGAGAAGATGCTCAAAGCATATTAATGACAAAGCCTATTCTATTCTAGAATGTTGTTGCTGATTAGCCAAAACAGCAATGTGAGTGAAATGGGGATGCTTGCTCCGTCTTAGGCTAGTATGCTTTAATGATGTATTTCGTTTTATTTAGGCGAACGGAGAATTCGGGTGCATACACTGTGCTTACCAGTCGTAAGTTCACTCGCTGAAGTTTATGCAGGAGTAGATGTACAAGCTGCCATCTGCCTTCTGGCCAACATGGGTGAGTAGCAGACGAAACAGTGGAAAATGCATATCTAAAAACATACCTAAACATACCTAAAAACAAGCTGTGGCTTTTCTACTTTTGTCTAACTTTAGAGATCCTTCAATGCATTTATCTATTACAGGATGAATTAGACTGTTCTTACATCTTAAAAATAATTCCTAGTTTAAGTCTATTAGGGGGGTTGTGATTTGTAAAATCCAGGATCTCGTCACCTAATATGTAAACTGTCACACATCCACACTAGAATACAGCTCAGCTATAAACAGGAATATGCAAATGTGACTTTCAGAGCTATTATGCTAAGTGTCACAAGGTGTGTCCCTGTGACTCCAAATATATGACCTTCAGTAAAAGGAAATTTATGGAGACCAGATTGCCAAGATAGGGACAGAGAACTTTCCTGTCTGGTGATCAGACTGTGTCTAACACATAGCTGCTGTAGAATCATACTCAGAAAAGTATATTTCTGAAAATATACTTTTAAAAAAGTATATAGATAAACAAGCAGTGAGCCTTGCTGTTTCTCACATACACTAGAGAAAGCAGCCATTATTGCTAACTTGGTGCAAATAGCATTCCTGACAGACCACTGGTCCTCACACCTCACTGGGCAGTACTAGGAATTGACGCAAGGACACAGGATTATGTCACTGATCTATACTCCACCTCCCCAGGGTTTTAGTATGGAGAAGGAACTCTGTGCATGAGCATGTACGTGCACACACGCTTAGAAGAGAGAGCTCACCCGAGCCCAGTGCCTGAGCACCCTCTTGCTTTGCTTCCTTTGCAGCTGTGGATCGCTCAGTGTCATCGAGCCTGTCAGATGCCAGGGATGCCCTGGTGAATGCTGTAGTGGACCCCCTGTC